GGGAAAAGGCTGAGGAGAGGGAGAGATTACAGGTGCAACCTCTTTAGGTGGGTGGCCATGCAGGGCTCAAGGTCACCATGCAAACACACTGTTCCGGCACACCGTACCATAAATGAGCCAATACTTTGCTGCCACTGGGGTGTTGGGGCTCTTCTGCCCCCGCGCCCCCTTCCACCCTGGGGCCTTGAGACGTCTACTAGGGGATGGGCTCTCGAGAGTGGAAATGACCACAGTGCAGAGACCATGATGTGAGGAGGGGGCAGCTGGCATCGTTGGACCTCATCCATGAAAGTGTGGGGGCAGCTGCTAGGGAGGATGGTACAGGCATCTAAAGGACGGGAGTCTGTGGACCCCACTATGTATCACAGCAAGTGGTTCCAGCCTTATCACAAGGGACTTAAGCAGTAGGGTCTGTGATGAACCGGCAGGCTCCTGGGACATTGCTATCGTCGTTCAGTCACTCATGTCCAACCTGCGACCCCATGGACTGCAGCATGCCAGGCTTCTCTCTCCTTCACTGTCCAGTGGAACTGGGCAACACTCTTAATTCCCCGATTAAACCGCTAGCTCTGACCCTTTGTTGTCGCCATCCTTTATAAAAGGAAGACCAGTAAACTGAGGCAGTGTCTTCTGTGGCCTGGAGGCTTGCCCCCACCCCATTCTTACTGGATGGGAGGGCTCTAGAACAAGGCTAGCTTTTTGTTTCCATTTCTTCTTTGGTGTCAAGAGGAGACACATCCCTAAGGATGAATTGCAGATAAAGCTTTTAGGGAACACAGCACTGTCCTTGGGAAACCAAGGGCTTCTGGGATGACAGGGCCAGATGCGTAAATGAGCGAGGGGCCTGCATGTCTAGTGGCCCCTTGGCCTTCCCAACATATACCCTTGACTTAAAAATAATGAAAATGTGGAGGAGTGCACATTGCAAAACAAACAAAAGCAAAATGCACAGCCACACCTGGTACCCAGCATACTATCCTCTAGGAGACATCACACCATGCAGTTCCTCCATGCACCCCTCCCCCACCACCCGCCGCTGGCAGAGGAATTCTAGAGCTCCAGGGATAAGCACTGTGTTGACTAAATTCTGGGCAGAGTGTTAATATATACGTGTGTTGCATGAGTGGGTAGGTAGATGACAGGACTTGAGTAATTGTGAGAAAAGCAAGATTTTGGAGAAAGCCTGAATGTCTTCTCTGTGTAGTCTTAACTCCTTTCTGTCTCCCTTCTTTCAAACACCCTCAAATTATATATAATTCATTGTAGGCTTTTATTCTTTTTTTTCTGTATTTTGTTCACTGTGTGTCAATTCTAAAGGAAATCAACCCTGATTATTCACTGGAAGGACTGATGGTGAAGTTGAGGCTCCAATACTTTGTGATTGGAGCTTCCAATACTGATGTGAAGAGCCAACTCATTGGAAAAGACCCTGATGCTGGGAAAGATTGGGGGCAGGAGGAGAAGGGGATGACAGAAGATGAGATGGTTGGATGGCATCACCGACTCAATGGACATGAGTCTGAGCACGCTCTGGGAGAGTGAAGGACATGGAAGCCTGTGTGCTGCAGTCCATGGGGTCACAAAGAGTCAGCCATGACTTAGCAACTGAACAACACAACATGTTAATCAGCAATGTTCATCGTCAGCAGGTGAGGAAGCAGGCCAACCAAAAAGGCCAGAGTCACTCAACTGGTCAGAGGTGGAACCCAAGCTTGGACATGCCTGTGATTCCAACTCAAGTGCCATTCCCCCTACATTCTCTGTGGCTTCCTGCTTCTAAGTGGACTCCCAGTTTGGTGAAGGCAGCTGGGAACCAAAGACATCTTCAGAAATTCAACGTTCAGGAACTTATACTCAGCTGGAACCAGCAAGTCATCTGAGTCTCCTGGTTCACCCCGCAGGGCAGGCTCACTGCTCTGCCCCTGCATCCCTGTGATGCCCCCTTCTTGTTGGCAGTGGGGCCAGAGCATTGGGTCATGGGGTCTGGGGATGTCACCCCCCTCCCAGCAGGCCTTCCGCAGAGGTTGAGCACCAGGGCTGACCACTGTATTCTGACATCCAGAGATACCTCCCTCATTATGATGCCCATTTGTTACTGTACAGAATACTGCTGAATGGGAAACCTAGGCGGGGTCTCCAGAGATGACTCTCAGACTCACAACTTGTAACTGGCTTCCTAAGGGAAGCCCCACCGAATCCTCAAAGGTGTCAGAGGACACCTATGGAAGCTATGGTGCTTCCACCTTCCCTGTTGCCACTCCCACTGCCACAACTGCCTTTCAACATCCATGAACTTGGGGTCCAGACACTGCGATGCTATTGTAATAGACAAGCCACTGCCCACCCCAGCTGCTCCTGACCCAAAGGTCTGGGATTTCTCTAGGTAGCATACAACAGCAAAACAGCAGGATGGTGGTCTCTATCTGCCTTCCACCTTCCAGAACTCTCTAGTTCAGCTGTCAGGATTTAAGTTGTATTTAGACTCCGACTGCAAGAAATGTGTTTTAAATTTTCTGGCCACTACAGTACAAGGAGAAGTTTAAGGTATTGAGGGCGAAACCACTATAAGTACCACATTTGGTGAGAAAAAATATTGAATATTCATAATAAATATTTTGAAGATTTTCTAAATGCTTCGGCTTAACATTTAATGAAATTTTTTAAAAAATTGTATGTTTCTGAAGATTATGAGGATGTTCACAAATGCCAAGAGTCCTCTTAAGCAACTACGGGTTGATTTTTTCACCAATACCACCACTGCAGAGTTCAGGGGTTTTCTCATCCATCGAGAGATTAAATCCTACAAAGCATGATCCACTTTCATTCTTTATATTTTTTTCAATTACAGAAGCAATACAAGCATTGTTTGTCTGAAAAATGTAGTAAACATAACTATAATCCTACATCACTATCACAATAACTGCTTTACTCTTTTTATGTGCATATTTACATCTTGGTGAATGCAGTGTTCATAGAACTCTGCTTTGTTTTCTTACCTAGAACTGCATCATAATTATTTCCTATGTTGTTGCATAATCACAATTTAATGGCCCCATAATCTTTCACTAATACAGGTATCATAATTGCTCAGCTATTCCTCTCTAGTTGAACCCTTAGCTTGTTTCCAATTATTTTACTATGAACAATGCTTTGAAGAGCATCATGTATTTTCAGACTGTTGGTCACTGAAGTGAGATGATGAGTTAATATGTACTGGTTAAAGGGTATCCATTTTTAAATGAGTATCAACAGGTTTTGACCAATGTTTCTTGAAAATCACCTTTAGCAAAAGCAGGGAAATTTGTCTCCAGGAATGACTAAATGCAGACCTTGTTTCTACCTATCCCATCTTTAGCACTTCTCTTGGCACCTACTGAAAATTCAGAAACAGTCCCCTGGGTCTTGAAGCCTCTGTTGACATTGCTCACATCACTGAATCTCAAATCCCGGGGAGCTGTCTGGGTGACTGTGACTCGAATCTTGGGACCAGGATGAGGCCAAGAAGGAGATACAGCATCTTCAGGGTCTCCCCCACCCGTTCATATCTCAAGGCACAGCTTTCCTGACCAGAAGTCTTCTCCAGATAAGGTGCAGTAAAAGTTGATCAGCTCAAGCCAAATCTCAAGCCCAGAACATGCACATTTAGATGCATATTTCAGGGAGCTTTAGATAAACAGACAGGTTACTCCCCTAATTTTTGATTCCTCCCTCTTCCTCCCAGATGGAGAAGACATTGTTATTTAGGTTACAGTAAAGTAACCTGGGTTACACTTTATTTAAGAAGATATTTAATAGCTTGGGATAGTTTATGAACTAGAATACTAGAAAGAACTATACATGCACACTCAGTTGCTTAGTTGTGTCTGACTCTTTGTGACCCCATGGACTGCAGCTCCCCCAGGCTCCTCTATGGGATTTACCAGGCAGAATACTGGAGTGAATTGCCATCTCCTCCTCCAGGGGATCTTCTTGACCCAGGGATGGAACTCCAGTCTCCTGCTTGGCAGGTGGACTCTTTACCACTGCACCACCGGGGAAGCCCAGGCAGATGCAATACTGCAAGATTTTACTCTCTTCCTCACTTTCCTCTCTATTGTGAGGCCAGGCTTTTAAAGCCCGTCCTGCCCCAGGAAAACGCGCTGAAAGTGCCTATTCAGAAGGGCTTCAATCCTGATGACCACTTATAGTCTTCATCAGTCCAGGGCTGTGTGGCTTTAGCCCCTTGGTGAGAATAAGGAGGAATAAACTTTATGAATCACGTGTTTTCTTTTCAGAAAGAAAAACTTAAGTGTTCGCGCCAACGAAGCAGCCTGGCGCAGGATCTCGAGATCTCACTTTGTTCCCTCCACGGTACATGCTCTTTGTTGCAGAAAAGGAGGTGCACCCCTCGTATCGCACAGTGGGTCCTCAATTCTGGAACTCTATCCACCCCCATGTGCGCCCCCACTCCTCCTCCGGGCACCATAACTGCTCCATAAATGACATTCGCAGTGCTCCAGGCCCAAGGAATGCCAAAGCTTGCTGAGCAATAGTGTTCGCAACAAAACCCCGGGCTCTGTGGGTAGACTGGCCGCTGTTCCGGATCCCCCTCCAGCCTCAAGCATTTCCCCTTCTGCGATCCGGGTGACCCTTCCCGGCAGCTGCCCCCCTGGCCTGCCCCAAACCAGGCAGCACCACCCCACCAGGAGGTAAGACGACTTTCCGGGACACCCCACGTCCTCCTCTCGCCCCCGTCCGGTAGCTTGGAAATGTGCAGTGGACAGTGACGTCACACAGGAAGGCGGGTCCCCACTGTCCTGCACACCAATGGCGCGGCCGCAGCCCGTCCCTTCTTTTTCAGTGATTGGTGTCTCGGGCCCCTCTGCTCCACCCCAGCCCGCCATGGCGTCAGGCCCCGCAGCACCGGGGAGGTGGTTCCCACTTTAAAGAAGTGAAGTTTTTCGCCCCCTCCCCCGCCCCGCCCGCCTCCTGCAGCCTCCCGCGCCGCGCGGAGCCGGCGAATGGAGCTACGCCGCGGCGGCGTAGGGAGCCAGGCTGGGGCGCGCAGGATGGATGGGGACAGCCGAGATGGCGGCGGCGGCTGCAAGGACGCCGGGTCGGAGGACTATGAGAACCTGCCGACCAGCGCCTCCTTATCCACCCACATGACAGCCGGAGCGATGGCCGGGATCCTGGAGCACTCGGTCATGTACCCGGTAGACTCAGTGAAGGTGAGGCGCCAGGAGACTTTAGAGACGGAGCGAGCGCACGCGTGTGCTTATGCATCCCGCGCGGGAGCCTCCTGGAAGCAGCCTGGAAGCAGCCCTCCGCAACCGCGCTCTCCTTAGCGCCGCGGCGCCCCCGGGTCTCCTGGGTCCCACCGGGAGCTGGCGCGCGCAGCCGGGGCGCCTGGGAGTACGCCGCGCAGCTCCTTCCGCTGTGCGCTTGGGCCCCCGGGGGCAACCCCCCCTCCGCGCCCACGAGGGTGCCCCAGTCGGCGCCCCGCTTCGCCGCTCCCGCCGAGTTCCAGGCCCGGGCTGCTGGCGGCGCTGCCGCCGGCGAGGAGAAGGGGAGAGCACCGCTGGCCTCGGCGGTGGCGGCGGGGCTCCAGACGGAGCCGGCCGGTGTGGCTTTGAGCAGTATTACCATGTCTGGCCACGCGATCGGAGGGTTTGCGGTCCCGGCTCGTCGCGGCTCCCACTGGCACGCTGGGTGTGCGAGCCGCGGCGAGTGGCGTCAGCTGGCCGCTGCCGGGTGATCGGGGCTCCCACACACGTGCGCCGTCCCCGAGGGGCTCGCCGCCGGGAGCGCTAACCACACTCGCGCCGATAAACGTGGCCCCGACCCGGCTGGCCCGGCCGCCCGCCCTTTGGCAGCCGAGCAGCTGAGAGGCAGTGAGGCTCACAGTGACATTTGCCTTCTCATTTTGTTGCAGGGCAGTGAGGGAGAGCGCGTGCTGTGTAGTCTTTCTTAGGGGTTGTGTAATAGCCGTTCAGTTTGCCCCGCGCTTCCCGGGTAGTTTTAAATGCATTGCTGTCAGGAGGTAGCTTTAACCAGGCGGATTTTTGCCTGAGCTGCACTAAGTCAGCTTGTTCAGGATACAGAATGACCCGGGGATAGAATGCTATGGGGAAGTAATACTATTATTGATACATTGTACTTGTGTAGGCAGAACTCATCTTATTCCTACAGCAGACGTGGGAATTAACATGAAGAAACTGAGGCACAGAGCGGTGAACAGGATTAGCCTGCCGGTGCTCAAGCGCCACCGGTATCCCTGACTCCAGCCCCGGTGTGCTTCGGAGATTTGGGGACTTCTCGAGATGGCAGTTATCTCAGAAGGCAGACCCAACAGAGCATCTGTATTTTATTTTTGATGCTGGCCCCACATGAGCGGTGGGAAGGCCAGAATGTCTAATGCAGAGGGTTTTCCCTGCTCTGAGCAGTTCTTAGAGCTGGCGGTCAGTGGCCTGACAGACACGGGTCCAGAGAGAAGGCCAGGGGCATTCACATTAAGGTGAGCCCCAAGTCTTATGTTGTGCTGCTGGGTCTGAGTCATCACCCCTCTGCTCTACGGCATGCCAGAGGGAGATTAAAGGAACCGTCCTTGCCTGCCAGGGTTATGGAGGCCACAGGGAGATCTTTTCTCTTAGGTTTTCAAAGTTCCTCCAAGAAAGACCCTGGACGGACACCAGGTGGCATTTGTATAGGAAGTAATCCTTCACATGTAATAAAAAGTCCCCATATTTGAAATTGTCATCTCAAGTGCCTTGGACAGAGTGTGGGAAGGTTAGGAGCCAGGAGATGTCATTTGAGCAGGCAAGAGCCATCAAAGAACCAGACCACTTCTGAGGCTCTTGACCTCCGCTGTGAGTTTGGTTCAGGGCATCATTGGAGCTTGTCTTTAGGATTAGTTATGCCTTTTGAGCTCCCTGTGACACTCTTCTGTGTGTGCTAAGTTGCTCAGTTGTGTCCGACTGTTTTGCAACCCTATGGACTGTAACCCATCAGGCTCCTTTGTCTATGGGTTCTCCAGGCAAGAGTACTGGAGTGGGCTTCTATTCCCTTCTCCAGGGCATCTTCCTGACCCAGGGATCTAGGTCTCTTGCATCTCCTGCAAGGCAGGTGGATTCTTGATTGCTGAGCCACTGGGGAAGCCCCTTAAGAGGGGTTAATTGCATGTGTTTTTGAATTGTGTGATCTATGTTTAGTTTCTTCCCTGCCCCTCCTTCTGCCCTCTAGGTGTTGGTATGTTTTGATCCACTTGTCACTATGTACTTAGCATTGATTTCTGTAGCAGTTTTCACTTGTGGACAGGTTAATGTGGTGTGTGGTCAAAGGAGCTGGTTTAGCTGTCCTGGGCAAGTCATTCTGTGAAACTTGACTGTAAAATGCTCTGGGGACCTTCTCTGGTGGTCCAATGGTTAACTGTGCTTCCGACATAGGGGGCATGAGTTCGATCCCTGGTCAGCGAACTAAGATCCATGTGCTGTGTGGTGCAGCCAAAAAATAAAATAAAATTTTAAAAATAATAAATAAAGTACAGGTTTGGGTTAGCTAACCAGGAACAGTTTCTAGATTCTGGGATTATAATCCCGGCTCTGAATAAAGACCCTTGGGGGTTCTGGCTTTGAGCCCCCCGGTTTGGCTTTAAAGCGCCTCTTGGGTTTTTTTTTTTTTTTTTTGCTACAGTTTCCTTGGATTACTCTTTTCATTTTGCAGTGGAGCTAAAAGGCACAGAGAGAGTTAAGTGGCATGAGCCCTGCAGTGTGACCCCAGGAGGGCTGCAATAGAGGTGTCCTAAGACCGACACAAGTGTCTGTGTCCAACAGGAGATGTCAGGGACCATCCATGCTTCAGGCAGGGAAACGCTCCCCTTGGGGAGCCCTTCACTGTGTTCTTCGTAAATAACAGGGATGGTGGAGACTGTGAGTAACTGAGTCAGGAGCCCTGGGTAGGGGTTCAAGCCCAGCCCCTAACTTGCTTCATTCTTTAGGCACTGTTCTGTCGCTAGTAAAATGGGGGCTATGTTCAATATTTCCTATTTTTTCACCTGTCCCCCTTTCTACGAACACAGAACACTCATTGTCCTCTTTTTATGTTACTTGCAATTTGAAATAATTAATTACACTTGAAGCCCAATCAATAATTATATCTTGAAAGGAAAAAAAAGGTTTGGTTTTGTTTTGTTCTATTCTATAAGGCACACATTTTTAACCTTGATCTTATAAAGTTCAGTGAGAGTGTGGGATGGGCCTGTGTTTTTCAGTTTTTCTCTCCTGTGTGGTGTGTGGACCATGGTTCTCAGGACTGGTCACTTTCAGTTCTGAGCCCAGCAAGCTGCTCTGTTGTGCGGAAACTCAGCTTGGCTAATGCTTCACATTGTAATACTGCATATACTTTTCTGTGAAATCCCTTCTACCCAATGTCACCTTAATGACTTGCATTTTTCAAAATGGGTGGTGACCATTAGTGGGAGCAACATTCTTAAAAAGCCAGGTTGGTGAGAGTACAAAATAGTAATACAAGCATGTGTGGCATGCAGTAAGAAATACTGTTGCTCTGTGACAGTCTGGGTTGTGTGTATGTGTGTTCCCTGAGTGGCTGTGCAAAGTGTACCTCTGGCTAGGCCAAAAAGTCTGAGAAAACACTGAACCTCATCATCACTAACGTCTCTCGAGTTCCAGCAGTCAACAGCCTGTGATTCTTAAGTGGGGATTTAGAAGACTTTTGGCAACTTTTCCCCTCCTTCCCTTGGCCCCTCCGTGGTGGCACATGACTGCTTACTCATCTGTAAAGGGACCCGCTGCCAGGACCTCGCAGTGGTCCCAAGGGAGGGCGCGAGGGGACCCAGGAGGGCTGTCACCCAGAGGTCGCCACGACGTGTTCCATTCCAGCTGGGGTTTTGCAGACCCTCTGCCACACCCCTCGCTCTCCCTGGTGCTCCAGGGGGGCCAGCGGCGTGGTCGCCTAGACCAGCACTTGGGGTGGACGTGAGAACCCCTGGTCCGGAGCGCTCAGGACTGTGGGGAGAATGCCAGGTGGGTGGAGGAGGAAATTCCAACCAGATTAGGCACACCGCTCTCCGACTATGCCGCGCGTCCCGCGGTGGCGAAAGCAGGGGCAGAAGGAAACAGGAAAGATTTGAAGCGAGAGGACTTCCGCTGACCCTTCTCTTGGCTTTGCTTGTCAGGGAAACGCAGTCCTTTTAAACTCTGCTGGGGGAAGCCCTCCTGCCCCGCTAGGGTGCAGCCGGATGGCAGGGCGCTGACAGCCGGCCGAGCGGGTTGAGTCTAAGCCTTCTCTCTAGGAGCCGGTGGGTGCCGAGCCAGTTGGAAGCCTCGCTTGGCCTCGGGGGTTGCCATCGCTGGCAGTGCTGAGCTCCGAGGAGCAGCAGCAGCGAGGTGGGCAGGTGCCAGGCAGCTCAGCGTTCCTCCACCTCTGACTTTGCTCATCTTGGTCTCCACAGTGCCAAGCAGACTGCTAGGGTCCTCAGTACGGGACGGGGTGAAGAAGGCAGCTGCCAGCGTCCCTCCCACTCACTCCAGTGCTTTCAAAACCACGTACAACCCAGGAGATGCCGCTCCACTTCGAAAGAGTGTGAAATCCCAAGTTGCTCTCGTTTCTTGCGACAAAAGTACCGTGATTTTTCAGTCTCCTTCTGATCCTGCCCTTCCCTTCTTCTCCATCCTTCTTCAGTGGGAAGGAGCACTTTTCTATAAGGTGGATCTGGGAGTGGCTTGGATTCCAGCGAGGAATTCTTCTTGAACTTCTGTACTGTTGTTCGTTTCATGAACGCGTAGGCCACGTGCTGATGCCCAGGGCTGCGGTCTGCTGGAGGAGTAGGGGCAGGGATCTGGTCCCAGAGATAGCGCTTGGCCCCTACGTGGCCACTTTCCTGCCTGCCGCTGGCCCCCTCTGTCCGGAAATGGGGGAGGGCGAGGCCAGGGCAGAGGGCTTGGAGGGGAGTCCCTGAGATTACAGCGGGCAGCCAAGGCGGCCTCAGATCTTCAGTAGGGCGAGGCACTGGGGCTAACTTGGAGGAGGAGTTCAATTACATTGTTCAAATCACGCCTTAGGGCACACGAGGGGTAGGGGGCGTGCCCTTGAGGTAGGGGCTTGTCACGCGAGTCAGGGGGCGTGGCTCTGTGGAGTGGGCATCCTGTGCCTTTCCTGGTTGCCTCTGGGCACGTTTTAGCCACCTGTGGCCCTTTCATTGATTAGGGCCTTT